TCTTCTCAGGAGGTTTTACCTCATCAAGCAAATCTGCCCGTGGGGTCATATGACTCGTGCAACCTGAATCGATCACCCAGTGAGTGAGGGGGTGCATCACAACCTTCCCAACTGAACCCACATCACCCCCACTCCCTTGCACATCCTCAACCATGAGGAACATCCCAGGGTCGGCTTTACCTTGTGCACCATCACCTTGTGCACCTGAACCTTGCACAGCGCCACCGCGTGCACGTTCACCACTTGGCGGCTTCATGCCTGGAGGGGCCCATCCCTCAGGCCGGCTGAAACACTTGAACCACGGGTGTCCAGCCTTCTTGCAGTACCAGCACGCACCCTCCATTCGGGTGCTCCCCCTGCCACCAGAGCTCCCATGCCCCTCATTGTAGTCACCTCGGCCTCTCCCTCTGCCAAAGCCTCTCCCACGGCCTCGGCCTCTCCCTCCCCCTCTTCCTCTGCTGCCTCCTGCAGCTCCATACCCCTCAGCAGTTTTGTTGGCAGCACCACCTCCCGTGTGGCGTCTGCGGAAGTCCTCCTGCAGAATCTGCTGCCGTAGCCACTCAGGCGTCCATTTGTCCTGCTGAACATTGAGGGTGGGGATGAGGTTGTCCCACGAGTTGTCGAGCACCGAGATGATCTTGGTGCACTGTTGCATCTGCGACACGTTGCTGCCCGCCGCTGCCATCCTCGCATAGGTGTCCTTGATCTTGTCAAGGACCAGTTTCACATCATCTCCCGGTTTCATGGAGAGGGCAGCCAACTCCTTCTCCAACACAATCACCATCGGCAGCGTGTTGGGCTGAATCACGTCGCGTAGCAGCTTCCATGCCTTCGGTCCGGAATCATCAAACTCCACCAAATCCTTGATGTGCTGGAACATGTCGTTGTTGACCGATTGGAGGATGAGGTCGTAAAGCACCGCGCTCTTCTCAATCCACCGATCGCGGGCATCTCCTTCCCCCGGCATCTTCTCCTCTCCCATTGCAATTTTCAGCAGCTTGTAGCGCTTGAAGGCGCTCCGCATCCGCCCGCTCCATTCCTCATAGTTGGAGCCATCCAAAGCTTCGATCTTGGATGGGGGCGGTTCACTCCTCTTCTCAGCTGCATCTCCACTACCTTGATTCATCTCCTCTGCTCCCAATCAGAGGTTTCAGCTCCCCCCTTTGCTGGTCACAATGTAGATCCACACAATCTTCACAAGTGTCGGCGCCAACGAAATTTCGGCAGAGTTTCCCCTTAGCGGAAGTCACATCCAACCTCCAGAACTCCACTTAGGCACGCCCACAGGCCATGGTGGGTCCAAGAGGGTCTTCACACTTCAGTAGACTCCTCACAGGGTCCTTAATCAGCTCTGATACCACTTGTTAAAGACTAAGGACGGAGTCTATGAAGATTAGGTGCCTAAATTTCTCAAAATCGTTGGTCCCTATTTCTGGACAGAATAGTTGCGCTCACAAGAAACGCCGTCGACGGAAAGTGCACTGTCAAAACTTCACCAAACCTAGATAAGTTGTAGCCCTACTCCGTGGCTACAATTCGCAAGTTGAAACGTATCAAGAGGTGAAGTAAATCTCGACTTATCAATTTCGGCGCACAGGGGGGTATGCTGCCATAAGAACTTAACTCAATCACAAAGTTCACACAAGTTCACACAAGAGAATTAGAGTAGCACTAAACCAGGTGGAAGGGATGAGGAGGACGAGAGGGAAGGTCCCAAGAGTGTCCCCAACCAAGGAAACCCCATGCCATACAATTCTCTTCCCCATAGGCAACCCAATTTTGATCTTTGTCACTATCCCAACCTCCACAATCCACCTCAACCCAACTTGGCCACACTTGCCAACCTGGTTTGGTTTCTCCCAACCATTTGGCAGCAACTACAGTAGAAAAGACGAATTTCCCAACCCCCAAAAGTCTATACCCCATATTGAGTCAACCCCACAACTTCCCATAGTCACCACAACCAAATATCGAAAGCATACGAACTCCAACGTTCGTAACTTTCTTGTTCGTGCTCCGATTGAAGCGATACTTGGTTCGTCGGAAAGCTCTTGAGCAGAGGAGTCACTTCGGATATCTGCTCAAGCCAAATAACATTCACACACACTCAGAAAAACCAAACCGCACAAAACACAAATTCTTGCACACACTCACAACACGCATGCAACGCACGAACATATGATGGGAGGCAGACAGACGTGAATGCGAATGGTAGCATCACTCAACAAAGACAAAGGCCTTGGCACCATCGACAATTTCAAAGCACGCTGGGTCGTACGCGGCTTCGACCAGGAACACGGACGCAACTTCACCGAAACGTTCGCTCCGGTCAGCCGACACACCTCGCTGCGAATCCTCCTCGCGATCGCCGCCATGAAGAAAAAGAAGCCGCGGCAAATCGACGTCGCCAACGCCTTCCTCTACGCACCCGTCGATGCAGAAATCTTCGTCGAGCTACCGCACGGCTCCATCGGAGAGCCTAATCAAGTCTGTCAGCTGCTGAAGTCACTCTACGGTATCAAACAAGCTCCAAGGCTGTGGCAGCAGTACCTACACGCAAGACTCACTCGCATCGGATTTCGCCAGCTACCTCACGACCAAGGCATGTACCGGCTCACAAAGGGCACCGACTACATCTTGCTAATCGTCTACGTAGACGATTTGCTCTACATCGGCTCAACTGACAGCGTCACTACCTGGTTCGAAGGGGAGCTACAAAAGGATCTCACACTCACAGTCTCGTCCACCGTCACACAGTACCTCGGCCTCAACATCCAGGAAGAAGAAAATGCGATCTACCTCAGCGCCGCGAAATACGCCGATACCATTGCCAAGCGCTTTGCACTCACGCCGACCGACATCTCCACGCCATACCGCTACACGGCAGGAAATCACAAGGAAGGCTCCGCTCTACTCAAGCCCGCCGGCATACGCGACTACCAGAGGAAGCTGGGATGCCTCCTCTTCGCAGCTGTCACCTGCCGCCCGGACCTATCGTACTCTGCAAGTCAGCTCGCCACCTACCTCAAGAAACCTGAAGCGGAACATGTGGCGGAGCTCGACCGCGCTCTTCACTACCTCGTCAGCACCCCGACAATCGGCCTGACCTACCATAAGAACACGACTACAGCGCCTAAACTAATCGGCTACGTCGACGCCGATCACGCCGGCGACTCTGACAACAGACGCTCGCGCACCGGCTACATCTATCGCTCGAGCCTATCGGACCTATCTCCTGGCAGTCGAGCAAGCAGGAATTAATCGCCCTCTCTTCAGCTGAAGCAGAATATATCGCACTCTGCTCAGCCACCAAGGAAGGACTGTACCTTCGCGAACTCCTGGAGGAAGCCAAGCTAGCCCAGTTACCAAACTTTACCCTGTTCTGCGACAACCAGTCGGCCATTCGCATAGCCAACAAGAACGGCTTCGCGAACAGGACGAAACACATCGCCCTGCGATACTTCTTCGTGAAGGACGAGATCGAGAAGGGGAGACTCGAACTGTCATACTGCCCCACGTCCAAGATGGCAGCTGACCACTTGACCAAGAAGCTCGGAAAGCAGAAGTTCGAGTACTGCATGCTGCTGACTGGACAGAGCCACGTCACCAGCAGCGACTCTCCAGAAGCGAAGGGGAGTGTTGGAAACAATTAACTCTAAGCGCCTCTGTCGTGTTGAAACACCAAGTCAGAAGCGAAGCGAAGCATATCGAAGCACTGGCGAGTCAACCCTCGGAGGTTGAGTAGTTGCTGGAGGTTACGCGAAAGTCAAAGGTCAACGACCTTTGACCTGACAAGTACAGCGCGACAGCAAGGACACACAACTGACTCGTTACAAAGCAGTTGCCCGAGTCGTCACTGTATCGAACCGCAACAGCAACAGTAAAACAGTTGAAACCGTATCTCTTCGTATTCCTTGCACTCTTATATGATCTTGTACCGTATCACCCCGGATATTAGCGCAGGCATATGTTAAGCGCATGCGCTTATATCTGGAGCAATGCGCTTATGGCCGATCCTCAATTATAAGCGCACCCCTTATAAAACCCTGATTTATTATAAGCGCATGTATAAACATATTTAAAAAAACCGGATTAAAACAGTAACGACTTCCCGTTTTGAAGCGAGTCCACACCCACTTCTACTTTGTTCGACTCCCTCGAGGGCGGGCTCGCTCAGGAAAAGCGCAACGGCGCGAAGTTGACCTGACAGGGGGGCTCGGGAACAACTGTTGTCTGTGCGCTGCGAGCGAGCGACTGCAGGCTATTGGTCGTACACTGGGGCAAGCCTGTGCGATGCGAACGAGCGACTGCAAGCTATTGGTTCGTACACTGTGCTGGGGCGAGCATGACACATTCCTATGCGAAAGTGACGTGTCCTTGCCCTTGTGCGCCGACAGAGAATCGCCGTCGCGCGATTCTGATTCAGAACGCTCCACACATTTCGATTTGAATGAAATTGCAAGACTCTAATGCACAGTTTGGTGCGTTTATAACATATTTCTGTGTTTCTGTGTTTGTCATTATATAAGCGCATGCGCTTATAAATTTGACTCATTTATAAGCGCACCCCCCTAAAAAACACTGTTTTATTATAAGCGCAGATGCGCTTATATCCGGGGTATTACGGTATCTCTTTGCTTTTATCAATCAACTTTGCCCTCACATACTAGCGCAAGGTGGTTCACAACTCTTCATTAAACGCTTCCGCTACTACATCAGTTCTACCCAGAGTTCACCCCTGCAAAGATCCTAAGGCGCTTTGCTTTGCGCTTTGCAAGCACGGATGGAAAACCTAGAGCCCGACTAACTAGTACCGTAACCATGCTTCATTGCACGGATGCTAAACTGCTCAAAGCTAAGCACAACACTTGGTTCAGTGTATCAGCGGGCCTCCCTCTTGAGAGCTTGGTCCACATGCAGAGCATCTGGCGCGGCGACTGGTAGAGGTATTCACTACCGTAGAACCAGAACTAGTACCATTCACAAAGCAGTCAGATTAACTAGGTGCAGCATCTGGCCTCGCCTCTGGACAGCTTGGTCCACATGCAGAGCATCTGGCGCGGCGACTGGTAGTGCGCGGTGAGGTAGTCGTCCATGCAGCCGAACTGGCAGAAGCGCCAGTTGTGGATGTAGTGGATGGTGTTGTTGATGCCGTACTGCACCACCCACATGCCCATGCTCACGTCCTCCATCTTGAATATCTGATGTGGGAAGAGAGGGGGGTAAGAGAGGAAAGGGGGAGGACGGCGGACGGCGGGTAAGGGGGGGTAAGAGAGGAAAGGGGGTATGAAAGGAGGAGTGCAATGCGGGTTAGGCTGATGTGAGTGCAATGGATTGACGTATGCTGAAAATCTTTCTTGGGAATACGTGGAGGGATTATGCAGAGGGACTAGATGCAAGGGGCTGCACACATAACACGATGATGGCAGCAATGTCATGCATGCACCCTGTTGTGTTGGCCCGTGGCATGACATGGTGAGGGATGTGTTGCTGCAACCACAATCTCTCAACCTCCCAACCCCATCACCACCGCTCTGCACCCACCCGCAGCATCTTGTACTCCTTCATGCGCACGATGAAGTCAGCAATGTCCCGCGTGATGATGTACCCTGGCCCGTTGGCGTATGGTGGGTAGTTGGTCTCCGGCCACTCCTGGTGGTTGGGCCAGGGGGGTGGGCGGCCGGGTGCAAGCATGGGGAGAGGATCGGGGCAGGGATGGGAGCAGGGATGGGGTGACTATTGAGTGGACTACGATGTCCCGCGTGATGATGTACCCCGGCCCGTTGGCGTACGGCGGGTAGTTGGTCTCCGGCCACTCCTCGTGGGGGATGAACGGCAGGGGATGGACGGCAGGGGATGGACGGCAGGGGATGGGGGCAGGGATGAGGGCAGGGATGGGGGCATAGATGGCATGGGATGCCATGGATTGGCGTATACAGCCCACCCACAAACGGCCCAATTCCCGATTCCCAGCGGCTCCTTAATTTGCCTCTCCCTCTCCCCTCAGTTCCCTCCACCTATGCAGTCATTGTTGTCTCCTCCCACCTCTTCAGACACGGCCCACTTGCCCTCCCGGAGCGGCTTGTGGAATTCGTCGCTGTTGCCCATGTACAGCCCGCTCGCATGGTTGCTCCCTCTCAGCCTCACTCACACCACCCACCCTCGCCTCACCTCTTCAGACACGGCCCACTTGCCCTCCCGGAGCGGCTTGTGGAATTCGTCGCTGTTGCCCATGTACAGCCCGCTCGCATGGTTGCTCCCTCTCAGCCTCACTCACACCCCCCACCCTCGCCTCACCTCTTCAGACACGGCCCACTTGCCCTCCCGGAGCGGCTTGTGGAACTCGTTGATGTTGCCCATGTACAGCCCGCTCGCATGGTTGGCGAATCGGATCTCGTCAAACACAGCGTCCAGCCGCACGAAGTTGTCGTCGTCCACCTTCATTATGTAGTTGGTCGTGACGTTGCGCAGCTGGGAGGGAGGATGGGACGGGTGGGGGCACAGAGACAGAGAAGTGAGAAAGGGGGAACAGGCACGAGGCGGCACGTAGAGTTGCCGTGGTCCACGTCCATGATGCGGTTGGTGCTCTCGTTGCGCAGCTGGACAAGGGAGGGGGATGGGGAAGGCAGTAGGAGAGCAATGTGAATGTGAGGCCTCTCAGAAGACGCACATGCGTTGTAGCTGGAGGGAGGAGGGGGAGTGGTTCAAAAAGATGGGAGGGAAGGGATGCGGAGAATTGGAGGCATACAGAAGAAGATGGTGAAAAAAGAGGGAGAGGAGCATCGGGTAGCACATGGCATGGCATGATAGCATGGCACGTCATGATACAGCATGGCACGGCATGATACAGCATGGCGCGGCATGATACAGCATGGCGCGGCATGATACAGCATGGCGCGGCATGATACAGCATGGCATATGGATGTGTAAAAACCCAACCCGGGCAGCACTGAGCCCAAGCACCGCTCACCCCGAACTCGCAGATGGCGATGGTCTTGAGCACGACGAGGTCGTAGCGGTCGATGAACGGCAGCACCACCATGTCCCCGTACAGCGCCGCCTCCTTGTGCACCTCCACGTTCACCTGGATGCTCGGATGCTGGTGGTATTGGGTGGGATGAGGTGGAGAGGGATAATGGGCAGGTGGTGAGAGCAAGGGATGAAGGGCAGCAGCACCATGTTGCCATAGAGAGAGCGGCCTCCTTGTGCACCTCCACGTTGACTTGGATGGCAGCACATGGCACACGCTCACGGGAGCGACGAGGCAGCAACTCACCAGGGCGAGGAAGAAGCGCGCCACGACCTCCCCGCTGCGGATCTGAGGGTGCTGCAGCCACGTCTTGCGCACAGCGGTGCGCTCGGCAAAGTGGTTGGTGGCGGACAGGATGCCGATGAACATGCTCACGTTGACGTCCCCCCTCACAGCGGGCGCCTTGAGCGACTCGCTGGCCTCCAGGTCCGCCGTGCGCAGCGGTGGGGCGAGCGGGAGGGACGTGGCGACGAAAGACTTGAGACGGATGGCGCCGCTGATGGCCACCGCTGTGGCCTCCTCTAGCGGGTTGCCCTGTGGGTGACGGGAGGCGAAGGAGGAAGGGCGTGAGGGAGGGAGGGTGTGAGTGAGGGAGGAAGGGTGTGGGAGGGCGTGAGGGAGCGTGTGAGGGAGCGTGTGAGGGAGGGATTGCAGTGCAACTCACGGAGCGGTACTGGAAGGACGCGACGTGGTTGCCGTCCACCGACACATGGAAGCCCTCCCAGCCGGCGCGCACAACGAGCACAAAGAGGCGGTCCTCGTGGAAGGGGAAGGGCCACTCCTCCGTCACCTCCTTGTCCGCCTGCTTCATCACCTGTCAGGCGTGCAGAGGGGTGCAGAGCGGTGGAGTGGGGTGAATAGGGGTGCATGGGAGTGGATTGTGGTGCACGCGCGCACCAGCTGACGCCACTCTCACCTGCTGCGGCCATCCGGACAGCTTCTTTGTGTCCTTCAGCTGCTACTACCTTGCTTGCCACACATGCTCCTCTCACACGTCCCATTCACGCCGATGCCATGAGCTGCCTATCCGCGCCTGCATGGCCTTCCTCGCACGCACGCACCACACACTGCCCTCGCTGCTCCTGGCACCACACGCATCACTCTCACCCGTCGCTGCCACCCCGACAGCTTCTCCGTGTCCAAGCGGGTGCCATCCGCGCCTTGCATGGCCTTCCTCGCACGCACCACCTGACAGCCCTCACTGCTTCACACACACACGCCCCCCTCACCTGTCACTGCCCCCCTCACCTGTCGCTGCCACCCCGACAGCTTCTCCGTGTCGAGGTGGGTGCCATCCGCGCCTTCAGCGCCGTCCATGCGCTCCTGGTCCTCCTCTGTGCGCGCCCGCTCCCGCGACCACTTCTCACACCGCCTCTGCCCGTCCACTGGGGGGAAGAGAAGAGAGGAGAGGGAAGAGAGGAGAAGAGGGGGAGGGGTGACGAGGAGTGGAGCGCATGGGGGAAAGGTGCAGTGCAGAAGAGCAAATTGAACCCGAAACGCTAGACCCTCACTGCTTTGACGTTGATGGAGGCGTCTTGGAGCGCGCTGCTTCTCACCTCACTCCTCACACCGGGCAAATCCGCCCCAACGCTGAAGAACAGTCAACTCACCCCCAACGTTGCACAGAAGTCACGACCCAACTCACACCCAGCTTGCACCTCCCTCCCTCTGCGCCCACCTCTCTCCCCCTTTGACACGCCTCTTTCCCCACGCCACGCACCTCTCTCCCCTCATGGTACGTGGAGGCAAACCCCTCACACCGCACAGACTCGCCCCACTGCCCGTGGTAGCACGTGTTCTGCTCTATCACGCGCACCCCTGCACTGCCCCCACCACCCCCTCCCTGCACCCTTCTCGCCCCTCTGCTCCCACCTCTCTCTTCCTGCACCCACATCGCGCCCCCTGCCCCCACCTCGCTCCCCACAGCACGCACCTCTCTCCTCGTGGTACGTAGAAGCAAACCCCTCGCACCGCACAGACTCGCCCCACTGTCCGCGGTAGCACGTGTTCTGCTCGATCACGCGCACCCCCGCACTGCCCCCCACGCTGCTGCTGCTGCTGCTGCTGCTGCTGCTGCCCCCACTGCCTGCAACAACACTACTGATTCCGCTGCTGCCTCTGCTGTCGCCCGTCAGGTGTGCGTGCAGGTGGTAGATGCGCGTTGCCTCCTCGCCCTTCACCACCACCAGGCCCTGGGGAAAGGGAGTGGGGGGTTGGATAAGAGAATTTGGGAAAGGGTTAGGGAAGAATGCTGCTGCTGGTGTCACCACCACCAGGCCCTGGGGAAAGGGAGTGGGGGGTTGGATAAGAGGATTGAAGGGGGGGATGAGGAGAGCGGGGTGAAGGAGAGGGGGAGAGGGCGGATGGAGAAGGGGAGAGGGGAGCGGGGAGACGAGGAAGAAAGAGCATGCGGAAGGGTGAAGGCGGGATGCTGCTGCTGCACGTGCTTCTGCTCCCTCAGGGGCGAGAGCAGGCGAAGGAAAAAGGGGAGGTGCTGCTTGAGAACGCGGCTTCTGAGTCCAGGTGGTGACACGTCAAGTCCCCTCAGGAGCGAGAGCAGGTGAGCGCTTTTGAGTCCAGGTGAAACTTTTTGACTCTAAAATTCCCTTCAGGGGCAAAAAACAGGTGAGGGAACGGGGAAGGTGCAGTGGACGCGTGTCGTTCCCTCCCTCTTACCAACACCAGACCCCTGGGGGTTAGAGGGGACAAAGAGGGGGAGAGGATGGGAAGAGGAGGAAGAGAGGGGGGATAGAGGGGAGATAGAGGGGGAGAGCCAGGAAGAGGGGGGAGAGGGGGGAGAGGGGGGCTAAAGGGGAGGTTGAGGGGGAGAGGGGGGGAAGAGTGGGGGTAGAGGGGAGATGGAGGGGGGATAAGTTGGAGATGCGGGATAGAGGGGGGTTACAGGGGGGATAGAGGGGGGTTACAGGGGGGATAGTGGGGGGTTACAAGGGGAATAGAGAGGGGTTGGAGGGGGGTTAGAGGGGGGATAGAGGGGGGATAGAGGGGGGTTAGAGGGGGGGTTAGAGGAGGGGGGGGGGGGGGGGGTACAAGGGGGATAGAGCCCAACCCTATCAGTTTCGCCAAGCCTACCATATTCCCAAACCCGACCAGGAAAATGCCCCTCCCTCTAGTTTTGCGTCTCCCACTCACCACGCACCACCCCCTCGCACTCACCAGCACCCCCTCCCAGGCACCACTCCCCCCCACTCACCAGTATTTCCAGCATAAACGACAGCGCCGACCCTTCACTGCCCGTCCCTCTTCCTCCCGCCGCCACCTCCCCCGCGCCCGCCTCCCTCCCCGCAACTTCCGCCCCCCCATGCCTGGGAGCCGCCCCTCCACGCCCCGCTTCCGCAGGCGCGGACGGCACCATGCCCACTACCGTAATCGCGGATCCCACGCGCATCCCGCACGGCAGCTTAATATCCCCGCTTTTGAGTTCCTCATCCCCCTCCGTCAGCACTATAGCTCTCTGACACGTCTTGACAGCGGCTGTGCCCTCCGCGCGCGGGTCCTTCTTCCCCTCGCGCTCTAACGTCTCTAATCTCTCCATCTCCGCGCGCATCTCCCGAAGCGCCATCTGCCCCGCTTCTAGCGCCTCGACGGACGACTTCTCCAGCACCGACCGCCGGCTAAACGGCCCCGTCCGCCGCTTCTTCTTCTTGACGGCCGGCAAGTTAACCGGCAGCGGCTTCTGACGGCTCTCCACCTTCTCCCCCGACACCTCCTCCGGCTGCTTCACCTCCTCCGCGCGCCTCGCGCCCGCGCCCGCTCCGCCAACCGCTCCCACGTCTCCGCCTCCGCCGCCTGCGCCGTCCGCGGACGCCTCCTGCAGCCCCGCGGCCTTGCGCTGGCGGTCGGAGCCCCACGTGTTGCGCGTGAAGGTGGCGCGCAGTCGGTCCATGACGAAGCGGCGCTTGCCCGTGTTGGTGTCCGCCACCGTCAGCACGTCCATCTGCCGGTCCGCCTCGTGCTTCAGCTTCTCGTCGGACGACTCTGGACTCCAGGGGCTGCATGGGGGGGGAGACATGGCACGGTGAGAGAGGGGGGGTTGGGGGATCAGTGTGCATGGGCGTATTCGTGTCCGCCACCGTCAGCAAGTCCATCTGTCCGGTCCGCCTCGTGCTTCAGCTTCTCGTTCGTGGATTCTGGGCTCCAGGGGCTGCATGGGGTGGGGGGAAGGGGAGGGGGAGGGTGGGGGTTGGGCCGGTCCGCCTCGTGCGTCAGATTCTCGTCCGTGGATTCCGGGCTCCAAGGGCTGGTAGGGGGAAACATGGGAAGACCTGGAGAGGCACGGCACGGTGAGAGAGGAATGAGCAGAAGAAGCGGATTGGCTTGAGTGTGCTCGCGTCGCCGACCGTCAAGCGTTCATCCGTTTTGGTAAACCGTCAGGCAATACGCGTCGTCGTGCTTCACCTTGATCGCATTCGCTGCATGTCGGCTCCAGAGATTGCCGGTTGCGACAACTGCCGGTTGCGACGACTGCCGGTTGCGACGACTGCCAGGGTGGATGCCGTCGGATGTATAAGTGACGCCTCGTCGACGCGTCATGGTCAAGCCGGCGACCGTTCGTTCAGGTATCGACGACATAGCCCACTCGACTGTAGTACTAGGAATACGTTACGTGAATGCGTTACGTTACCCACTCGATGCGTTACGTTACCCACTCGATGGTGCGAGTTGCTCTCTGTGAAGTGAATGCTTTACGTGAATTCCCCTCCATCCGCTCATTCGCTCACGCGCTCACCTCTCAAGTAGTCCTTTCGGCGCAACGAAGACCACCAGCATGAAGATACCGGCGGCGACGGCTAGCAGGCGGGCGAGCCGTCGCTGCGTCAGCGCGCCAGTAAACATGCCGGCGCTGGGCTTAATCCGATCACGGAAGTCGTCGCGGTGGTGGTGGTGATGGTGGTGGAACGTCGTCGGTACCGCCGCCTTCCACGTTGTCGCTGCTGCTCGCGGTCTGCCTGGCGGCGCTCCCAACGCCGTACTTCTACTCACCGCCATTCCTGTGCGGCTCGGAGCTGCTGGTCTCAGATCGTAAGCGCTCTCCGCTTTTAGAAGGCAGAAAGTCGACAATAAATAGAGAGGCTCGAGCGATTAGGCGCCCGGCAAGCTTAGCGTTGAATCGACTTCAAGGTTTCGGCATAAATTACGGTTCTGCACTGAGCTCATACGACGTGGCAGGACGTGCAGGAATATCGAAGCGAGGAGTGTATTAGGCACTGGAAAGGCTTCGTGATCGAGTGCGTCAAGATTGTTCAAGCCTGGACTCGTAGCCAAGGTGCCTAGTGTCACTAGTCACCGTATTATCGACCTCGAGAATTTGTAAGCCGAGCTGATGGGAGGAGTTTCAACGAGCTTTGCTTGCGGTGTTGGTTGGTTGGTTGTTGCTGCTTGTTTGAGTGAGCTAGAGAAAAACCGTGGGCTTTGTCATCTGCGCGACAAGGGAACGACAAAAGAATGAGGGGAACTCGAGAGAGAGCGCGTGCGCAACAAGGGAACGACAAGGTCGAAGCGAGACGACTCAGGCGAGACGATGAAACGAAATCGCTCCCAGCCGCACGCGGCCTTACATGTGTCGCGTGCACGTTGGTTCTCCGGTCGTCGGCACCTTCGCAACAGCTCTCTGGTGAGCCGACGACCCACTCGCGAAGGCGCAACTTGTCGCGAAGTGTCAGCGCCAGTCGCAACTTTGGGTATCCTCAAGCTCCAAGGTCGAACCGCTCCCGCTTGTGGCGGAGGTTCGCGATGGCCTTCTCAATGCAGTCCGTTGACAATCCCGCCAAAACTCTGCCATGCTCCATTATCATACTGTTCGATAAAGGGTAGTGTTACGGGTAGTTTTCACAATGTATCCAGGTAGCGAGGATTACACTAAGTTGGAAAACGAGTAGAAATGTGAGCGAAGGCATGAGCGAATAGCGAAATAAGCACGAGCGGACATTTATATCGCGGGGCGTGCCAGCTAGCTATTGCGATGCTGGCAACGAGGTTCGGGCTAGTCCCGAAGCGTAGGCCGACTGCTGAGAATGCTATTCTACGGGAGAGTTGAATTGAGTGAGGCTTACAGACAGAGTTCGGGCAGTGATTCTTGGCAGAGTGGTTGATTGACTTGGTAGTATTCAAACATGGTTTCATTAGGAAATTTGTTGAACGATAATATGGTACAAGTAAGCAAGGAGAACCAAATAGCAAAGACAATGAATCTTGGAGACACGTTCCTCAACAAACATACACCGTTGCCGAGTCAGCAATGGCAGGTGAAACTGATGCGATCGAAAGGTTGACCGTGCCTAGGATCACCTCATGAAGTTTTGACAATTAGAGTGTGTTGCAGCGGAAGATTTGACCTCAGGTCAGAGTGGATTCAAAATGACTAAGATATTAATATATTTGTTTATATAAGGGTACAAGCGAATACAAAAGCAGTACATTCCCTAAGAGGTACATGTTGGAAACAGGTATATGTTGGAAACAGGTACATTCCCAAAGGTCAGCGACCTTTGACCTGACAAGTACAGCGCGACAGCAAGGACAAACAGCTGACTCGTTATTGAGCAGTTGCCCGAGTCGTCACTGTATCGAACCGCAACAGCAACAGTAAAACGGTTATCCGTTGCATCTTTTCATATTCCCTGTACTCTTATAAAAGCCTTGTATCCCTTTAATTAATCAATCTACTTTGCCCTCACATACCAGCGCAAGGTGGTTCAAAGACTTGTCATCATACGCTTCCGCATTTACAACAAATCCTACCCAGAGTTTGGCCTTGCAAAGATCCTAAGGGCTTTTTCAGCCCAACATGGTATGAGAGCTATCAGGACAAACTCAACTATTTCAAAGACACCTACAACGTCAGAAGGCATGGCGACACAGAACGAGAGAAGCTCCTCTAACGGCTCTCCCGGTACTACTCCTACTCCACCTCCTGCCTCTGGCCTACAGACAGAGGAGGGCACGGCAACAAGACCAGCAGCCGGGTCTACTGAAACTCCCGCAAATCAAGCCGCGGGCTTCGACCCAAGCATGATGGAGAAGTTCTTCTCCTTCATGTCCTTCTACGAACAACACCAGCAAGGGGCACCTGCGCAGTCAAACAACAGCAACAACAACAACGACGTGACACCGATGAGCCTCGACGGTTCATCCTACGCGCGAGGAAATCAGCAACAGCAACCTACCTTCGCCCCGTACGAACCCCAGCGCGGTTCGGTCAGCTTCATGCCGCGCCAGCAGCCTTCACCTGAGCAAGAGAAGACATTGGATGCACTTCAAGTTCAGTCGCAGTTTGCGCACGTCCTAAACTGCAAACGTGAAGACCATTTGACGGAAAGGATTTCTTTACCTGGTCATTCGAGTTCGAGCTGATGATGGAAGGCGCGCAAATCCTTGGATTCTTCGATGGGTCCCTGCCATACCCAACACACGGGACGCAATATGACAAGCAGCAGTACACATATCAGTCCATGATGGCGTACACAATTCTACTGCGCAACATCACACCAAACCAGCAGCAGAACATCTGGTCCTATCAGGGATACGGCAACTCCGCCGAACTTGCGTACAACCACTTGAAGAACCTGTATCAAGCAACAGACAGCGTCAATCAAAGTCGATTAATGGCACAGCTGACAATAGTGGAAATGAAGCCTGGCGAAAAGGGAATGGCGTATATCAGCCGTTGTCGCGAAGTGCGCGACAAACTTCTTCGATGCGGAGGCTCAATATCTAAAGACGCCTTTGTGACAGTCATCATCGGCGGCCTCGGTCCTCAATGGCGCTCCACTCGAGCCATCCTCCGAGCCCACGGGAAAATCTCCGAAGCAGCACTCTGCGCCGAGATTCACGCTGAGCTGCAAGACATGGACCTGCAAGAGGAGCGACACAAGAAGAAATCAGTTCCCGAATTTGCATTCCACACTCAACGGCGCTACAACAACAACAACAACAACCGGCATCAACCAAAACCCGTACCTCCATTCTGTCATCTCTGTAAGACGTCCGGACACCCCCGTACACACTGCACGAACCGACAGCAGCCAACGCCACCACGTCAACTTCGCCCCTCAAGCAGCCAAGTAGCGTTCACACAAGCGCACCCTACCAGTCAGACGCAATCTTCAACTACTTCATCGACACAACCTGCACAAGGAGCAAGAAACATCGTCAGCTGCATGGCGAGATTGACCGACTCCTGCATCACCGAGTCACCATCGCATTACTCACCAGAAGAGCAACTCGACAACAGTACCCCTCGCCGCGAGTCACTTCAACCGAACCCGACGTATGCAGCCATCGCTCAAAGCGAGCCGTCCGGGAAAGATAGTTGGTTCTTGGACAGTTGCTGCGGGCAGCATATGTGCTCTTCGGGTCGTTTCGTTCAACGAGAATATCAACTTCAACGCGAAGTTGTCATCACCGTCGCCAACAACCAGAACCTGCGCACACGACGACAAGGCGTGGTTCAACTTCAGTCACGGGAGACGAACATTATACTACAGATGTCGAAGGTTTTCATAGCAGAAGGACTCGGCTATAACTTACTGAGCGGCAGTCAGCTGATGGCGAAAGGCATCCATCTCGAAGCAAACAGCACCACTCAGGAGTTCAAGCCGTACCACGGAAGAGGCGGACTTTACATCGGGAAGGCGGTCCTGAAGAATAACGTCTTCGTCCTCGAGTTCGTTCCAGATCTAGGCACCGCCGACAGCGACGGAATCGTCACCTTCACCTCCTGGACGCACTCACCGGATCTTGATCCTGACTTCAGCCCCGAAGGCTTCTGGTATTCGCACACTATTCCTGAGGCAGAACGAACAAAAGCATTAGCAACGATTCAACACTCGGCAGCAGCAGAGACAACATCGGCATCAACAGAGACAACATCGGCAGCAGCAGAGACAACATCGGCAGCAGCAGAGACAACATCGGCAGCAGCAGATGTCAGAGGTCCACTGGTGATCCCCGATTGATCCTAGGGAAGGGTTACAGGCTCGCTAGCCTGGGGGGTTATGGGTGCACTGACCCGCTACTTAACAAGCCCTTTTATCCCAGTGGTCTAGTGACTGGGATTCTGACATGGTATCAGAGCGGTCTCGGGTTCGAATCCCAGTGTGTGCACTGTCAAAACATATATATAGCTTATGCAGTTGTGTAGGCTATAGTGGGGTATCCCATAGGGGGTACAACCCAATTATGGTTTCCTATATGTACTCACTTCATTCATAGTTCATTCATTCTTGTTCAAATCTTCTCATGGTATCGAGCAGGTTCCCCCTTGGGAACTGTGCTTAGGGCCCACCACATCGTTTTTTTTTTTTTTCCTGCCCGAAGCGCGCTCAGCCCGAGTCGCGCTCCGGGCCCTCACTTCGTCGAGCCGCCCTAGCGGCCCTTCATCGCGGCCCCGCCGCCTCTCTCCTAGCGGCCCCGCCGCCCTACCTAGCGGCCCCGCCGCCCTACCTCGCGGCCTCGCCGCCCTATTGCGCGGCCCCGCCGCCCTACCTCGCGGCCCCGTCGCCCTTACTCGCGGCCTCGCCGCCCCATTGCGCTGCCCCGCCGCCCTACCTCGCGGCCTCGCCGCCCCATAGTGAGGCCCCGCCGCCCTACCTAGCGGCCCCGCCGCCCTTCCTCGCGGCCCCGCCGCCCCATCGCGCGGCCCCGCCGCCCTACCTAGCGGCCCCGCCGCCCTTCTGCTGCTGCTGCCGACCTGCTTGGTCTTGAGTCGGTCTGCGCGGCGTCTGCCCCTAGCGGGAGACGCCGCCCTGGCAGGGGCAAGGGGGGCAAGGGCGCGGGTGGAACTGGCGGGGGCGGTGGAGGTGGCGGTGGAGGCGGCGGAGGGAGTGGGGGTGGCG